ATCCTTAAATTTAATATTTAATATGAATGTGAATTCTCTGATACTGTTTCATGGCTAGGTTATTGAACAATGCTGTTTATTGCTGTGTTTTTATATAGCCTTTTTTTTCTTCATAGTCCTTAGTCTCATGTATTTTGTGTTACTTGAATACTTTTTTTTTTTACTGTCTCTCCTCTTAATCAGATAGAAGTTTTGGAAGGACAACGACTTTCTTGTTTTAGTTGCTGCTCACTCCCCTGTGCCGAGTCTCAGGTGCTCATAACAGACACACAATACACAAGTGTTGATGGTAAATATGAAGAATGAATTTAGTGCTACTGTACATGAGAGAGTGGGATTTAGAAGAGGGTGGAGATCTGGAACATGGACAGAGAGTCTGGAACAGCTTGAAGGCACAAACTCTCTTGAGCTTGTTTTTCAGAGGATCCACCTGAAACGCTTACCTTACAACTCTGCACTCGGAGGGGCCAGATCACCACACACAAGGAACGGCTAAAGCTGCAAGAGACACGTCTCGGTCAGACTTTAAAATTGTAAACAAAGAGAACTGATTTCACGCATTTCGTGTGTACAGTTTTAAGCCCATAAAGACACTTCCCACCCTCCCACCTTCTGTCTTCATTTTTTTCTTTAATGTTTGCAATAGCATACTTTGAATTTACTTAATCCTCCACTAAATGATGAATGCAACAAGGAGAAAGTGGACTTTCTAAGACATGTGTTGCTCCAGCTAGAAGATCCCTTTTCTACTTTTTTTTTTTTTTTTTTTTGACAGGCAGAGTGGACAGTGAGAGAGAGAGAGACAGTGAGAAAGGTCTTCCTTTGCCATTGGTTCACCCTCCAATAGCCGCCACGGCCAGCACGCTGCGGCTGACGCACCGCGCTGATCTGAAGCCAGGAGCCAGGTGCCTCTCCTGGTCTCCCATGCGGGTACAGGGCCCAAGGACTTGGGCCATCCTCCACTGCACTCCCTGGCCACAGCAGAGAGCTGGCCTGGAAGAGGGGCAACCGGGACAGAATCTGGTGCCCCAACCAGGACTAGAACCCGGTGTGCCGGCGCCGCAAGGCAGAGGATTAGCCTAGTGAGCCACGGCGCCGGCCCTTTTCTACTTCTTAACCATCCCTTAATCCTTGCTATAATAGGCCTAGTAAAGCAGCTCTCGAGAATTTGATTTTTCGACAATCTGCTTTGCTACACAACAGTGAATAAAAACTTTCCTCTGAGCAACTGCCACTTGGGGCTGTCCATTGGTGACATCCCCAGTGGCAGAGCCCTTGTGTCTGCTAACAGTATTTTCTGGTTCCTGCAAGTCACCTCCTTTCCTCTTGTAATATGACTCCAGTTTTCTTTGAGACCCAGTATTTTCTTACTCTGAATCCATCCCTTCCATGGAGGTCTTCAGGGCCTCTAGTGCCCTAGAATGTCTCCATTTTGAGTGACCACTGTGGGGCTGGCACAAAAGGTAAGACAAGCCCGTAACAGCCAATGAGAAATCTGGGATTTCTGTTGGCGAGAAGCCCTTTCCGCTGGAGTTGAATCTGCGAGCATATGGCCAGAGCTTAACACCAATAAATCTAACAGAGTTCTGGTGACACTGTTTAATCCTGCGTATCCAACCAGGCCAGGAGGCAATCTGCCTGCACAAGCCAGTGAATAAATTGTCTTTTTATTTTTTTAATTTTCTGTTATTTGCTTAAGCCATTTTGAATTTGTTTCTGCTACTTGCCATTATTTCAATTGTTGTTTTATGTACATCTGATGCAACCAGAGATCTCTAATACCAATTACAATGCTATTTGAATAAATATGACACATCATATTAACTTTACACATGAAATATACATCAAGGTGTTTCTTACACTATCTTTGAAGATTGAGAGTTTGTGTTAAAGATAAAATTCAAAATGGGATTTTCAGAAAAATATTACGTTTGAGAGTTAGAAAATTATACTTTCTTTCATTATTGAACAGTGCCTGTGTGGTATTCAGAATTCCAATTACGGCTGATGGCAATGCTTCTGCCTTGACTTGGGAATAGGAAGGCAGTGACATGAAACCTCAATGAGTGTCATTAACTGTCATTATTCAGAAAGAAAAGCAAAACTGTGAGACAGTGTCTGCTGTTAGCTTGGCTTTAATCACTTTTATGTGGATAACATGCTCCTTGTAATAAAGAACACACACCATTAACCATTTTTTACTGCTAATTAGAACAGTAATTATGGTACTTGTAACATGAAGTATCTAAGAAATTATCTGAGAATGTTCACACCTATATCAGATGCATACATAAGGAAGCAAACAGTTTAGTATTGCAACACTGAAAAGCCTGCTTAATGGTGTTTTTATTGAAGGCTATGCTTGCAAATTCTCTTTTATGCATTCCTTCTATCCAGTGTTGAGCTAAGACAGCTGCATTCCCCATGCCTCTATTAGGGGACCCTCTTGGAACAGAAAAGCTCCTTCTGTTGGCACAGGGAGGGGTAACATTTCCTAAGGAATTGAAGGCACTGGATAGAAATGGTACTTAGGGGGCTAGAAAAACAACCAAGGTAGAGACAGTGGGCACAGTTGTGGACACAGAGTGTTCAGCAGAGAGACTCTCCAAACAGGAGACTGTCCTACCTACTGACAAAGCCTCTCATGACATCTGCCCTAGGTGCTAGAGGGAAACACATTACATAAATTGCCTTTCTCCGGCCCGTCTCTACTGGCAGCTTTGCCAGATCAGTTTGAACTTGCAGAAAAAGAAACAAACACCCAAGTACATACAAGTACCAGCATAGATGGGGTATGCCTAGGCATACAAGTGCCAGCAAAAATGAGGTATGCCTAGGCACATTTCTCATCTCATCAGAAGCAAATGCCCAAAATTGTTAGACAGAACTTCTCAGACACCCCCCGAGGTGAGTGAGGCATGGAAAGTTCTGACCGGGTTTGCACTTGGAAATTATACTTCAGGAACTTGTTGGCTGGGTAGTGCATTGCAAAAGATACTAAAGTGTGGTCAGGAAACCCCAGAGCCAGAGTCAGGCCTGTAAACACAGCTCACAAGTGAACTGGTATCAGATTGCATGTGCACAGTCAGCAAATGCTCTGTCAAAGACACAAGGTAGGGCTTTGGCATCCTGGTGAAGACACCGCTCAGGATGCCAGCATCACACATTGGAGCGCTGTGTTGGAATATGCTGCTGATTCCAGTTTCCTACTAACGAGCACCCTGGGAACCAGCAGGTTATTGCACAAGCAATGTGGTCGCTGCCACCCATGTGGGAGACTCAAATTCAGTCCTGAGCTCTAAAGCTAGGCCCAGTCCTGGCCGTTGCTGCCATCTGGGGAATGGAACCAACAGATGGGAGCTCCGTATGTCCATTGGTCTCTCTCTGCCATTTTGCTTTTCAAAGTAAATACCATATATTTTCAACAATACACAAAAGAAGAATGAAAATAGCTCAAAATAGAATAATTGGCAAATGAAAAAGGACGCTGAACTTATCTGAATGTGAACACAGAAGGGCTACTAAAATGACAGCAATTTTATGATTCAATTTATTTTTTCACCTACTTAAAAGGAAGCAAGAATTGAGAGAGAGAGAGAGAGAGATGGAGAGAGAGAGAGAGAATTTCCAGCCAGTGGTTCCACTTCCCAAATGCCTGCAGCAGCCGGTCATGGTCCAGGCTGAAAGCAAGAGACCCAAACTACATCCAAGTGTCTTTTTGAATGGGAGAGACCCCTGCACTTGAACTATCATATGCTGCTCCCCAAGATGCATTAGTGGGAAGCTGGATCAGAAATGGAGTATGTGAGACTTGAACTGTCACTTGGATATGCAATGCGGGCATACCAAGAGGCAGCCTAATTTGTTGCATAGTAATGACCACCCCTAATTATTAAATTCACTTATTAGTACCATTATTCATTAATAGTAATCCAAGTAAGATTATAAATAATTCATAGATTATTTTATTCTGTATGGATTTCTGTTTCCAGAATTAGCTTTAGAGAACAGTTTTCAAATAAATTTTTTCTAAAACATGTATCTTCTTTTATCTGCCACCATGACAACAGATTCCTAAAAACCTTTCATATGATGTCTGTAATACAGTAAGATCAAAAATTTACATCTGTGACCATTCGGTCAAAATCATTTGATATGAGCCCTACATCCCTGAGCAGGGAGCGAGGAGGGGATATTTTCAAAACACGCCACAATTTTGGTCTCCTTCAATTTAAATATTTCATCTCACACAAATCTTTTTGGAATGCTTTGGGCACTTCTGGGTAAATTTGTCAAGCTAAAAGCTGATCCAAATTTATAATGGAAAAATAGACTAACATGCTTGTTATCTTCATTTCATTCAGACCTGTACAGCATCGTGTTAAACAGAAAAGTAAAGAGGGACTCTTGACTTCCCCATTTTCTTCTTTCCCATGGTCTTCAGGCTGAGGAGTACTTCATGGTCTTGTGCAGGAAAGAGCCTATGGGTTATATGGTTTCCAATATGTTGTTTTCCGCCTTAGCTTCTCTTTGATTCAAGACTCTTCCTTAGACATCTATTGAACTTCGTAATCTCAGACATCTGCTGAGTTTCAGAAAGCCTTTGTCTCTTATATTCTCTCATGTTCTAACCCAGAGTACTTTATGGTTTTGTTGATCCTCTACCAGTCTATGGATCATTTCACCTCTTCTTTATTTTCTCACCAAAGAGGCAGGAAGTTTTAGAAATGACAATCCTCACCTCCCTTATAGGCTACGGGAATCAAGAACACTGCCCCCAGCTCATTTTCCCATGTCCCACCTGGGTATGATTCGGGCCCAGTATTGAGATTAATGAAAGGGTGTGCAAAACGGTATGTTTGAGAAACAGATCTTTGGCTTTGCTGCATCAGGTATCTCATATTGTTTATCTTTATGTTGCCAGGCTCAACACATATTGTGCAATGTTGATTCCCACGGTGGTGATAACACTACCTGACATCTTCCTTTCTATCCCTGCTCTGTCTTCCTCCTTTCAAAGTCCACCTGACGTGGACTGGTGGGACGTCCATTCCTTCCTGACCGAAAGGCAATTACTCCATGTCATGTTTCTCTACTACAGGAAAATGGCAGAGGCAGGGAGGAGGAAAGCTGGTCTACTATGGGGAGATCTTCCAGAATCAGCTGTGGTAGAGACGAGTGGATGGCCGCACACAGAAATACTAATAGACGGAGATATGGATGGGTATGTGACTGCTTTCTGTACTTGAACATCTCAGTAATGAGGAAATTTGCTCCTTCTCTTTGGAAGAGTCCGGCTCAATCTGTTTTAATAATCTAGAAATAGTTTTATAGGACTCAAGAATATGAATTAAATCGTTGGTATTCAAGAGAACATTGTATTGATTTCCCTATTCCAACGTACACACTGTTCAAAAGGAAGACTATTTCAACAACAAGTCACATGGTAATCTGTGGCAGTCAGTGTACCTCATTGTCTTCCATGGCTAACTCACCAGAGGAAAGAAATTACATAGATAATGCATCTGTAATCCCATTCTTCTAGTCCTGGATTTGCTTCAGCAACAATGGGAAATTGGCCTTCCTACATGGAAAAGGTATTTTGTAACAATAACAGTATAAAGACCAAATAAATACAAAGGCTTAGTTACAGGAAAACAACTGCTGATAGTTTTGTGAATATTGTCCAAGGATAATTGAACAGGGGATTTTTTCCACAAAGTTAATTGCTACAAAAGTAAGGCTGCATTCAAACAGCTAATTGCTATAAGCCAAAGGAGATTCCAAGAATTTCTTGCCTAACGAGTTGTCTGCAATTCTACAGTAAAGTCTGTGCATTGCTTAGAAAAAACAATTTTCCACAACTGTGAGAACCTCTAAATCTATTTTATTTAATCTAGTTTATTGCATTTGTTCTTATTCCTGATTTTCATAAAGCTTACAAAGGATAAATTGCTATTAATCAAATACAGAGTATTCTTTGCAGGCTGCCTCTCCATCTTTGCTGGAATCCTCCCTGGGACAGAAGAGACTGACAAACACTCCCCAGCCTCCTCTTTCCTGGATCATCTGGACCGGCAGTTACCCAGCCAACATACAGCCCAGACCAAGTCCCCAGGGCTCCGATAAAGGGAGCCTATGAATGTTAAATACATCACAGATGAAAAATACAATTAGGAAATTAAAAGAAAAATATACCCCCTTACTTTTATTTAATTTGACATTAAGAAAAATGGACAGTTATTTGCACACATCCTTGTATGTGTGCAAGTTTAAGAGAAAACTATTGCTTCTAAAAATACGACAAAGTTTCTTTCCCTGTCTTCTCTTTAAGCCTCAGAACCTATTATCTTCAAAGAAAGAGGCAAGAGGGGCTGGTGCTGTGGTCTAGTGGGTAGAGCTTCTGCTTGTCATGCCAGCATCCCATATGGGCACTGGTTCTAGTCCCAGCTGCTCCTCTTCCAATCCAGCTCTCTGCTCTGGCCTGGGAAAACAGTAGAAGATGGCCCAAGTCCTTAGGCCTCTGCACCAGTGTGGGAGACCTGGAAGAAGCTCCTGACTCCTGGCTTTGGATTGGCACAGCTCTGGCCATTGCATCCATTTGGAGAGTGAACCATCAGATGAAGACACCTCTTTCTCTCTCTCTCTCCCCCTGCCTCTCTGTAGCTCTACCTTTCAAATAAATAAATAAAACTTTAAAAAGAGACAGGAAATTTTCTTCAAGATTTTACTGTTTTTTAATAATGCTCTTGACAAAATAGTGAAGCTGATATATGAAGCATGTCAAAGTGTTCATTACCGATGGTACCTGCTGGGATTATTTCTTTGTCTCTTTCTTAAAAACACTAGACATAAATGACAGAATGAGACACCTATCTCCTTATGTTATCAAGCAGAGGAGTGAAGGTAAAATGTAAAGTAATGTAAATATATGGTGTTTGAGTAGTTGAACATTCTTGATTTCTTTCACATTATAATATTTGAAATGAAAGAAAATGACAATAGTCAAGGCTAGCATTATATGTCTTATAACAGTAATAGACAATAGCATGGAAAACCTAAACTTTGTAATAGCTGTATAAATATTTGTGTATATGTGTATATAAATATGTGTATGTGTTTATACATATATAAAATATCTGGCAGATTATGTGATTTATCTAATATCTTGTTTTTATTGATTTTTATTATCCAAGATATCTAAATTTTGTTTTTTATATATTTTGCATTTATTTATTGGCTGTTTTATCAGTCATATTGGCAAAGTAACCATGTTCATTATCTATAAATCTAATTAAGGGTTACTTAATTAGTAGCTTAATTAACATTAGTTGGACAGAAAAGTTAACATATTAATAACCAATATTAATTTGGGATCCTTTCAAAGCAGTAATTATCTTTTATCCTCTAAGACACTTTGTCTAATAATACAAATGAGGTTTAGTTAAATTCAATCTTTGTACCAATATTTTTTCTTTTATTTTTCTTTTTAATTATTAGTGTGTAAAGATGAAATCTTGGATACAGAGACAGCAAAAATAATTTCAAGAAGGAAAAAATGAACATATTGAGAAACATTCCAAATTAAGTCATGTTTAATACATGACTGCATTTTAAAACAAAATATGCCAATAAACATTAGTTAGAAAGACTAATTATGACATTTAAGAAATTATACACAACTTGAAAATGAGGCAAAAGAGAGTATCAGTCTTGCTGGGGTATTATTTTATTGACACACCTGAGGGTTATTTGCACACACATTTGTGTTTTAATTATTTAGGGGAATACACCACTGAAATGTTACAAGTTACTTAGTCCTCTCTAGGTGAAAAAAACATAACTCCAAAATTTAATGGTTTTATTGTTCTGTCGACCATTAATCTGTTTTTTCCAACTAATCTTATTCTAATATATTTTATTTAAAAATAATGTTTTAAATGTCCAGGTCCTCAAACTTCCTTAAACCTGTCTTACTATTTTCTACCCTCAGTATTTAGTTAAAATTTGTTGTATTTGTTCTATATTTATATGAGAGTTATGGTTTTAATTTATTTCCTTCTGAAATTCAGTGCAGATCTCCCATGTGTGTGGCAGAAATCCAGGCACTGAGCCGTACCTGTTCTTTTCTGTGTGTATATTAGTAGGAAGCTGCAATTGGAAACAAAGCCTGAACTTGAACCCCAGTACTCTAATATGGGATGCAAGCATCCCTAGAAGTGGCTTAACCACTGTACCACAATGCCTGTCTCTTAATTTTTTAAAAATTATAATTTGGCAGTTTCAAAGAAATCCCCAACATGACAATTTACCTGTTGGATTTCTCTAGTGGAGCCAATTAGAATTCATTGTCTGAGTGTACTTCACGGACAATGGAAGCCAAGGCACATATTTTCTTGGCTTTGAAAACTGATTCCCAAGTCACAGCTAGACTTCCCTTCTGTGGACATTCCATTCCTTCAGTTTGTGGTGGCTGTTGCTCATGTTCAAATTTTTCGTTTGTTTTTGTTTTGGGTTCTGTCTGTTTTCTTTTCCCTCTTTTACCCAAACCATTAGGGCTGTGTTTCTTTCTACAACTTGGATTCATGAGTCTTTCTTGTCCCACAGTACTGGGTTGGGCTCACTTGTACCTAGAGAACACCCTCCATTTGTGAAACATCTGGTCTCTACAAGGGCAATAGTGACTCCCATTAAGGACAACTGGGGTTCAGATCTGGTTTTATGACCTGACAATTTGATGATTTCTATTGAGGCATCAGGTACTACTTTCTGTTGGGCAATGAGCAATAGAGAATAGTGTTTGTTAATCTATTTTTGGGTTATTTTGTCTATTTTCTCTATTTGTGAGCTCAAACTAATTAAGGAAGCCTTTCATGTCCATTGGAAGTGAAAAGAAAACTTTGGGAAATGATCTACTCAGTATGTGTGTGTGTGTCGGGTGGGGAGGGAAGGTTCCTGAATGCTGTAAGGTTTTCTCTCACCTTGAGCTTGAATGATTTCTCCTCTTGTGGGTCTGGCAAACTCCTCTTAAGTTTTATCTTAAAAATTCAGCCGTAACAATAGTTTCTCTGGGAAGCCTTTATTATTACTTATGTAAATAGGAGCACTTTTCCTTCTGATTCCTCTCTTTGAGTACTCACCTCTTCTGTGAGTTGACTTCCACGCATCCTCTAGATGACAGGCTATGTGGAACCAATACTGGTATCCCCCACAGAGTGTTTGAATAAACAAGTGACTTAAGAACCTACTCAGAGTTTACCACCAGACCTGTGGACTCCATCTTCTCAATAATAATTAGAGGAAAAAAACCCTTGGCCTTGCTGTAGACTCCAAATGCCTCCCCTCCTGTTTTCCTGGAGGTCTACCCTTTTTCGGGCACAGCAAATGCTCAATCGTGCTTTTTAGTTGCAAATATAGAAGATTTACCTGCTCAGATGTTTCAGAATTCCTGAATTTACTCTGCAGATTAACAATCCTAAATTCCTTCCCAATTATCAAATGCAGTGCTTTCTCACTTTTCAAACAAAATCAGGAAAAGACCAAAGTACACTTTCTCCAGGTGTCTTAAGTCAGGTTCTTCTCGACTCTAGTTTGATGCTGTCCCAGCCCAGCTCTTAACCTTAGGAGTGTTTTTTGCCTTTTGTCATTTTGTAAGATATGATTTTTATTGTATCTATTTAATGTATACAACATATTATTATGGTATACATATACATGGCAAAAAGGTCACATAGTGAATAAAATTATTCTATCATCTCACGTAGTTATCCAGTTTTTGTTTATTTGTTTTGGTGGGAAGAAGAGCTAAATCTTTTCATTTATCATGAATGCTACATATAGTACAAGTTCATTGCCTAGAATCCCCATACACATGCTATCTCTAGAAACGTTCACCTACTTTTCTACTGCTTTGTGTGCTCAGACCTACATATTTCTAGTCTCTTCTCCCCACCAACTTTGATAACCTCTGTTTTATTCCCTATCTCTGTATTCCTTATTATTTTTCTTAAAGATTGTATGTGTAAGTGCGATCATGCAATGTTTTTCATTCTATGCCTACCTCATTTCACTTAATATAATGTCCTCCAGGCCTTTCCATGTTGTGTAAAATGGCAGCATCTTGTTTCTTTCCGAAGCTGAATAGTAGCCCATTGTATGTATGTTGCATAGTTTCTTTATCCATTCATCTATCAATGGAAAATTAGATTGCTTCCATCTCTTGGCTATTGTGAATAAAGCTGCAGTGAATGTGAGAGTGCAAACATCTTTAATATCTTTGCCAGGTGTTAATTCCATTCTTTTTGGGTATATTCCCGGAGTAAGGATTGTTCTATTTTAGCTTCTTCAGGGACCTCCATTCTATTTTCTATGGTACCAGTGTGCATTCCTACTAAGTGGGCACAGAACCCCTTTTCTTCATGACATCATCAATATTCATTACCTCTTAACATTTTGGTAATAGCCATCCTAATGGAGTATGAAATTGTACCTCCCAGTGCTTTTGATTTATGTTCCTCTGATGATTTATGATGTTGACCATATTTTCATATGCTTGTTGGTTATTTTTATATTATCTTTGGAGAAATGTCTATTCAGACCTTTTGTTCATTTGCATTTCTAATTTTTTATTATTTTTTTCTTTATTTGAGACAGAGAAGAGATAGAGATAGAGATAGACAGAGACAGAGACAGAGATAGAGATAGAGGTAGAGATAGAGGTATAGTTAGAGACAGAGACAGAGACAGAGTTAGTTCTCATTTGCTAGGTCACTCCTGAAATGCCTGAAATAGCCAGGGCTGGTCCAGGCTGAAGTTAGGAGCTGTGAACTCAATCCAGGTGTCCCATGTGCTTGATGAGAACTCGGTTACCTGAGCAATGACCTCCTGCCTCCTCCCAAGGTATACATTAGAAAGAAGCTGGAATGCTACTAAGGCAGTATGATATAGTATGTGGGCATCCCAGTTGACAGCTTAGCCTCTTTGTCAGATACCCACCCCTTTTGGCCTTTTTTAATTGGGTTATCTGTTTTTCCTTTATTGAATTATTTGAGTTTTGAGTTTGTATAGCTAAAACTACAACCACTCTTAATGTGTCGATACCTCAGAAAAGTTTTTACATTTGCGTGTGTGTTGCTTGAAATGTTTTTCCTCCTCTGGAGGTATAATTAAATTGTATTCTTAGACTTTTTTAAAAAAAGTGGTGTTCTGAATTGTATTTATAGATATCTATGTGCCTACCTAGATTTAATATTCCTGTTACAGATACTTAGAAAATAAATTTTGAATTTTTGAACTGATCTAGTCATTTGGACAAGCAGTGCTCCTTACAGAAACTGCTTGTAAGACTTTTTATGCAGGAATCGATATACTTACCAGAGTATTTGGAGGTTTGGACAGATAAATTTAGCGATTTCTATTTTTAAAAGATATAGCTATATTTTATTATTTTTATTAATTTTATATGAATAGTGTGTAACAGAACTTTTAAAAATAAGACTTGCATTTTTGTAAGAAGAATTTCCCTTTTATTAATATCTTAAATTTATTATTTTGATTTATTTATCAGCTAAGGCTAGAAAATGTCTACATAATATTTATGATGTTGAAAACCAATATATTTACTGAGCTAAATTGATTTGTAATTATGGAAGCATTTTATTTGAAGAATAGTTCAGAAACACCTGAGTTTAAATGGATTTTCTAAGACCCCTAGGAAACCTGATAAATTAAACTAATCTTAAATGAGGTTAATTATCAGATAGTCTTTCAACAACTAGATACTTTTTAAGTCAGAAGGAATGCATTAATGGTTTCTACATTCTGCTCTGAAACTAAATTCTTAAGTCTTGGCATTTTAAATGTTGAATTTACACATATTTTTGCACATAGCTTAGAAAAATTACCATACTGCCTATGAATGATTACACATGTCATAGGTCATTTTTAAGTTTTCATTTAACAGAAAGAAAAATTACTAATCCCAGCAAAAAATGAATTAAATTGAAATTGAAAACAAATATTGCCTTACTACTGTGTCCCTCAAGTTACTGTAGTTTAATGTAACTGCTGCATTTATTATCCATGGAATCATTTGACTAAATTTTGTCAGTTCAGTTCTTTGAGGGACACTAAAGAATCACAAAGGGTTCC